AAGGCTACAAATGAAAATCCTAAGAAAACTCATGTAGTGTGATGCCGGCATTAGCATGGTCAGAAACAGTGAATGCTTCCAATACTTCCACCGTACTCAACAGAGTTAAACAAAAAGATCATAATCATTGTCTGCCATCTTCACTTACATTTTCACGAGCTCTTCAGTGGTAATATTCAGCCTGGTGGGTAAATATTTCTTTTCCCGTCCCTGGAAGCATTAGCACAAAAGATAATGACTTCTGCTTTAATGTTCCGCTGTGCATTTAAAACTGATTGTTTTACAAGTTAACATTTTGCGATATCAATACCCCCTTTTCAGAAGCTCTCCCAGACACAAATCTACTTGTCCTTTTTACATATTTTTCACAGTGAAGGACAATTGTTAGTGATAGCAGCATACTTTTTCTTTTCTTATTAACACGTCAACACACCCCAAGGTCCATACCCTAGTCAAATCCAGTATGAGTTATAATAAACTGTCATTTCTTCTGTGTGAGTTTTCATAACGCAAATTGACTTTCATGGTTTTTAAGTAGTGAATGTTTTTTCCATAATGCAAGTTTGTGTTGGCTGTAACGTGGCTCAGTTAAAACAATCTTAGTGACATGCATAGAGTAAAAACGATTGAATATGCAAGTTGTGTGTCTGTACTCAGCGACAATAATTCCATTCTTTAGAAATACTGCTGTTTGAATGAAGCTTGCTGTTAGCACATGTAGTGCAAGTAAAAAGAAAAGGAAAGCTAATATGCTGGAACAAAAGCTTGAGGTTATAAAGTGGTATGAGAGATAAAAAAGAACATGTGATATAATTTATGTGAATTGTTAAAGTTTCTTACGAAACCTTGTCTCACCACTGCAGAATTTCCCATTACTTAGCGATGTACTGATGCATATTATGCCTTATTTGATCTGAATTTTCACTGTTTTCTGTTTGATCACAGAAACATATTATGCAGAAGTAAGACATTCCAACTAATAATATGACCAATTACTATTGATAAAATACCTTTGTTATTGTGAACTCTCTACCCCCCAATCCCTTAATTCCAATAGAACCAATGTTTTCTACAAGGTGATTTTCTATAACGTGGCGTTTTCCAGAAACACAGCTATGACATTCTTGCAGAAATAGCTATATTTACCTCTCTCAACTCCAGCGTTGCAACACCTCTGTCTCTGAATTCATTATTTCCCAACCCTCGCTTCACTGCCTCTGTCCTTATGGTCTCTAGCATTTGTTCCGTCTTAGTAAAATCAAGGTGGAGCTGGGATGCATACCTCTCTGCAAGTGCCTAGACAAAAAAGAAACAAGACAACCATAGTTATTTAATGCATGTTTACAAAACAAAAGGAAAACTGCTTATGAAAACAGATGTTGTCCTTTATCAAAAACATATCTAT